CGTTACCTCTTTATTCCTCACAAAACTTCAAAGCTCATTATTCCCATTTACAGATGAGGACGTTAAGGAGCCAGGATTCTCTCCCAGGTCTTGCAGGGAAAGGAACCTAGGTTCCTTGCAGCTGGGCCACACCTCTCAGGTGATACATCTTCATCACCACCTATGCCAAGTGACCTTGCATAGTCTTGCTTTTCATGAACAATCTTTCTCACAGACAAAAACAAAAACAACTCATATTTTAGAATTGGAAGCTATTTTTTCCAGGATATTTTTACTTTATTTAATCAGTGGAACCATGCCAAGGGTGACAGCCACTTACTAAGAGAAGGGATGAGACTGACGTAATGTATTAAAATATGCTTGATTTTTTAAAAAATATATTTTTATTGATTTTTTACAGAGAGGAAGGGAGAGGGATAGAGAGTCAGAAACATTGATGAGAGAAAAACATCAACCAGCTGCCTCCTGCACACCTCCTACTGGGGATGTGCCCATAACCAAGGTACATGCCCTTGACTGGAATCAAACCTGGGACCCTTCAGTCCGCAGGCCAGATGCTCTATCCACTGAGCCAAACCGTTTTGGCTTGATTTTTTTTTTTTAAGAGAGAGCAATAGGTGGGGAGGGATTAGTAACCTGAGAATAGCTTTTTGTCAAGTTTTACTTTATAAATTATTATCAGCACATTTTCCTTTTGACATGAAGTCAATTTAGTCTTTTAATATAAAATATTGTTCCTTATTCTTTTTTAAAATATTTTTTTTATTGATTTCAGAGAGGAAGTGAGGGGGAGAGAGAGATAGAAGCATCAATGATGAGAGAGAATCATTGATCGGCTGCCTCTTGCATGCCCCATACTGGGGATCGAGCCAGCAACCTGGACTTGTGTCCTTGACGGAAATCAAACGTTTGACTCTTCAGTTCGCAGGCCAACACTCTATCCACGGAACGAAATCAGCTAGGGAGCTCCTTATTCTTAATGCAAAATGTTATTATTAATATATTTAAAATCAAAATGTGTTATACTTAAAACAAATAAATATATTTTAAACAACAAAAAAATTTTGTTTTCTAAAAAGGCAGAAATTTGAGTAGAAATCAGAAACATCCATTCTCTATAATCACATAAATTAAGTTTTCAACAAAGAAAACTGAATTTATACTAGTAAATATTTCAGAATGATGATAGTGGTGCTAATATGGGAGCTCAAAACCCTTTAGAATTGTAACAATGTTAGAGACTTTAAATTTTGTTAACTAAAGAGGAGAATACTTGATGGCTATTATTGGGTGCCTGAGTTAACCCCCCCCCCCCCCCCCGGCCCCATAGGAAAGAAGGGAGAGAAACAGAGGAAGTAATTAGGGTGAAAAACAATGGGGTTGTGTAGGGTGGGGAATGACATAATGATACTTCCCCTCCCAAACTGACCCTGGGAGCAGTGGGGACTGTGGACAAGGCACACATCAGCAGGTGCACTTTGGCTTCCTCATCTCTAAGACCATGCAGTGGTTCTCAACCTTCTGGCCCTTTAAAACAGTTCCTCATGTTGTGACCCCCAACCATAAAAATTATTTTTGTTGCTACTTCATAACTGTAATGTTGCTACTGTTCTGAATTGTAATGTAAATATCTGATATGCAGGATGGTCTTAGGCGACCCCTGTGAAAAGGTCTTTCGACAGCCAAAGGGGTCGCGACCCGCAGGTTAGAGCATGGCCAGCCAGATCTTAAGATCTTTCCAGATCTGTCTCAGCCTGTGATTTCTATTCCATTAAAAAGATTAACATTCAGAAGGGAGAAATGTGAGCAGCAATGGCTGGCTCTTTACCTGCCCATGCCACACTGATATGTTGCTGGGCTGCACCACATGGCCTTACTATGTTAGCTCAAGAAGTCACATACGCCAGCAATATTATTCATGAGAGATGGTATGAGAGTTGTTACAGATTCCTAGATCACTTTAACCATTTTAGAAAAAAAACTTTCTTTGCTTAATATTCAATTTGTCATATTGAACCAACCAAAATTGTCTTGTTGGCTGTCTTAAAAAAAAACACACACAAATAACATACCATTATATTATTGAATAAGTAAGAAACTCCAATTTATTTGCAAAAAAATTATTTTAAAATGTTTTTCTTCTCTTACATCATATAACTAACCTAGATGAAAAGGAAAGCTGCCAGTTAAAGCAATGAATTATGAGGTACCTATTTAATAAAAGGAGTATCTTCTCTTCATTAGTACTATATTAGTACATGACTTTTCTCTTGTCATGTGTCAAAGAGTATGAACCCAAAGCCCTAAATATAATATTCGTTACTTGTACTTGTTCCTCTACATTTATTGAGCATATATTAAGTGGGAAATATTATGCTAAAGGCTAGAGCAGGGGTGGGCAAACTTTTTGACTCGAGGCCACAATGGGTTCTTAAACTGGACTGGAGGGCCGGAACAAAAGCATGGATGGAGTGTTTGTGTGAACTAATATAAATTCAAAGTAAACATCATTACATAAAAGGGTACGGTCTTTTTTTTTTTTTTTTAGTTTTATTCATTTCAAACAGGCCGGATCTGGCCCGCGGGCCGTAGTTTGCCCACGGCTGGGCTAGAAGGTAGAGACAAAAAGGTGCACAACACACATTCAGGTCCTCCATTGACTTATAGGGACGGAGAGGAAATGAGACTTGAGCCAGGAGGACCAATAACCTAAATGAAGAACAAGATCTAAATTAGGGAGTGGTGATGGACATGGAGAAGAGGTGCTGCACATGAGAGGTATTTGGGGGGTAGAATCAATGGGACTTAATACCAGTTAGGCTGTGGGGCAAGGGTGAGGCCCAGGAAGTTGCAAAAGCGTTTCTTGACCATGAGAAACAGGACAGAGCGATTGAATTCAATGTGTGAGTCCTACTCTTTTCATTTAGGGTAAATTTTCAGTTTCATATCTCATCATTAATTAAAAGCCATTGTGAATATTTAGAAGAAATCAGAGGACTTTGGCCAATGAGGTACTAGATCTTGCCATTGGACACTCCATGACTTTTGTTGGTCACACATCAGATGAAAATGATAACTTGCTTTGAGTTTATAATACACCTAGTGCTAAGACAGGTTCAATCTAGCCCATATTTATTCAACAACTTTTCTTTTCCTGAATCTCCCATGACAAAGATTGCCCATGAATGACCTGTAGATAGCGAAGCCCAGTGAACTCCTCAGTCTTCCTTGACCTCTCCACAGCCTTTGAAACTATGGACCACTTTCTCCATGAAATCCTCTTCCCTTTGACTTCCATGGATCTTTTGCTTTGGTTCTCTTCCATATTTATGGTTTTTCCTCCTCTAAGCACCTTCTTAGAAGGTTCTTTTGCCTTGCTCACCCTTAAAGGCTGGTGGCCTTAGTTACCACCTTTGGACTGATGGCCCACACATCTATATATGTAGCCTAGTTTCCTCTCCTGCTCTAATGAGCTCTACATCTGATCATTTTTGGACACTCTCCTGGGTGTCTGCAAACACATCAAACTGAAGATGTTCATAATGGAGCTGATCATCTCCTTATCCCCAACACCTGCTCTTCCTGTATCTCCAGCTCAGCTGCTAACACTCGGGACACTCAGGGCAAGCCTAACACTTGGGGTCATCCTTGACTCCTCACACCTGAGTCAATCACCATATTCTGACAACTGCACCTCTTAAATATTTCTTCACTGTGTCCCTCTTTCTCTGTACTATCTGTGATGGTCCTGGTTCAGGCGTCCAACTTCTCTCATTAAGACTTCTGTGCCTCTAGTCTTGCAGCTTTAGTTTTCTTTAGAAGTATCCTCCACATGAGCTCTAGAATGAGCTCTCTACAGTTCAAATCTGCTGTTAATATTCCTCTGGCTCACATCCTTCTGTGGCTCCCCTTCACACTCAGCTAACAGCCAACTTCCTTCATGTGACATCCATAGGCATTCAGCTCCTCTCCAAGAATGTGAGTTCCTTGAGGACAGGGACTGTCTAAGGTAAGCAGGAAATGTGGGACTAAGAATGTAGAAATCAAGAGTAACAGAGTCATGGATTGCAATACTTGATGTCATTTTTATGCTTCCTAGCCATAGCTAAAATCTTACCTAAACCTACAGCGGGAGTATTTCAAGTTTTAAAACAATTTACATGAAGGAATTTACTACGGTCACTGGAATCCAAGAAAAAGCTCCAAGAAGGAATACAAGGAAAAAAGTAGATTTGAATTCTCATACCAAAGAGCAGTGGTTTATTGAAGAAAAATTGCTTTTAGCATTATTTATGACACATGGAGAACCTGATATGCCCTGGTACTTTTTGAGTCGGACAGTTTGAAGTGTAATTATTTCCTCTATCACCTACTATCTGAGTAGCCTTGTACAAATCAATATTGGACCTCTCTGAGCCTAAGGTTCCTCATTTATAAACTGAAGATAACACCTACCTCACATGTTGCAAAATGAAATGATGTAATTACTACTAAGAGCCTTACACTGGCATGGAACTTGATAAGTGCTCAAGAAATGTTGGCTATCTTCCCCTTCCTTCTAATCAGATTTAAATTCTTGGCTGCCATTCAGAAAGTGCTCTTTACCCTTTCTGTTAATTTTCGAAAAGCCCTGAACCAATCCAAACCAGACAAAACAAACAGCAAATGACCAAAAGAGATATTCAACAGCGATTCCCCACATCCTTAGGCAACCCCTGACCACAAAAGTAACAGTTCTTGTAGACTGTTTTATGCTTACGCCAGATATTTCATTACACATATATTTCTTTTTTATTTCTTTCTTCCAGTATAACCAATTCTGTTCTCTCTGGTGGTTCCTCTTAAATTCTTAAGTGGTACCATGATGCTATTACTTGAGTCATTCTTCACTGGGTTCCTGTGACATAAAAAAGGGGCTAAATTAAATGTCAGAAGTGACACTCTATTCTCTTTGATAAATTGTAGAAATAAATACTACTTTATTTTTCTTTTCTTCCTAGGGTCAAAAGAATGGACAATAAATTTGAAGCAATGTTCCTCTTAAATTTGTTATATCTGTGGCCATGATTTTGAAATATTTGCCAAATAATTTTGATACTTGAACATTTTTCCTCTATGGGTTTATAAAATAAAAACTGAAATTATTGTACATTTTAGTTCTTTTTTTATTGTTAACCTTGTTTTTTTTCTGATTTACATGTTATGATTTCTAAAAATTGAAATTTCATCATTGTTGGCATCAAAATTTTAAAACCTTAAATATAAATTTGCATCAAATTAATGTTTTCTTTAAATTCCTCTTATTCCTGAGTGGTTTCATTAAGCTGTGATTCCTTCCTACCTAAATTAAGGAAACATTTTTCTTAGCATTTCTTCATTGCCATTAATTACCAAAGTGACTTTAGATCTTCAAACACAATTGGAACCTTCAATAGTGGCCATATGAGATGGATCCCCTGCAGGGAGAGTATAACCCTCCCTCCTGGCCTCTCTGTAGCTCATCTCATGACAAACAATTTAATAGTTAGAAGGGATCTTAGGGGCCCTTTAGGCCAACTTCTCATGAAATGTCCCAAGATCTATATGCCCCCAACAGCTCAACCATTCCCAAGAGGCAACCCCACTCAGCTGTTGAGAGACTGTAAATGTAAGAAGTCTTTCTTAATTTGGTCAGAGATCTGCTTCTTACCTTCTCTATGCTTTGGGCCCACCTGTAGCTCCTAACAGCACAGTGGGGTGGGTTTAAAATGTGATACCCAGACCAGTAGCATTAGCATCACTTGGGAACTCATAAGATCTGGAGGCTCTGGGGCTGGGTCCCAACAATCTGTTTTAGAAAGCCCTCTTCCAGCTAATTCTGATGCACTGGTGTAGTGTAACAGAAAGTGGGTGGGACTTTGAAATAAGAACACCCTGGATTCAGATCCTTGTCCTCTGTCATTTCAGGCAATAGCTTCAGTTCCTCCCTCATCAAATGGAGCTATTGTAATTCCCAGGCTTGCTGAGGGAATTCAGTGAAATGATAAAGGCAAAGCATATAGCAGAAAATCTAACGCAATTTACCCACTCAAAAATGGTGTCTAGTGTTATGGATTCTTTCAGCACACTTATCAGACGCCTTTGAACGTCAGTCTTTATAAAGTCCATTCATTTGAGAATGGACAAGTACAGAATGAAAATTTTAGATATAACATGTTAGGCATATCATGAAAAATATGATCCTCAAAGAAGCTAAGTCCCATATTCAAGGACACACAGATCAACTGTTGGTGTCTGGGGGTCCTTAGGTGCTTCCCAGGCCTCAGCTCTTCAATCAATACATTATCTGTCACCTAATGCAGCAACATGATATCTAGCCCTGGCCTGGTGATTACACTAGTAGAGGCTGGAAATTTTTCAGTATTGAGTCTGAATTAGTTTTAATATTATTTGAGCATTCCCATACAATATTGGGCATCTTGGCTATTTACTTATTTAGTTACATTTTGCTTTCTTATTCATATTCCACTCTGTTCTGAAAGGATTTAAGGTGACTGTTGGGCATTTTATTAAGAATTGAAGTTCCAGCTGCTATGGCACCAACTGTAGGACCAGTGGAGTCCCATAGCTGCTTCCTGGAACTTTAGCAAGAGGCAAATATGCAAAATTCTGGGGATCTCAAATGGACACTAGGTGAAGTAGCCCAATATCAGGTGCTTTAGGTTTAACTGGAATACTATGTGTAACCTGTTCAAAAGTACAGTCAGATATCAGGAACTGTGAGGAGTTGTTTCCTGCCTTTTCGTGCACAAAGAAATAATCAGGCATTTTGCTATGCCCTTGCCTAAAGGAAACGAAATGGTTAACGCTCACTTTCCTGTGCCAAGAAGTCTGCTTTACAGACCAGAAGGAATACGGCACCTTTACTTTTAACAGCCTGTTTCCAGTTTTGTTTGGCTGTTAATATTACTGGAGTAGTGACAGAGGCCAAGGCAGGAAAATGGGCTGGGTTACTTATAATTCTTTGAATGTGGACACATCAGCTTGTGGGAAGGAAACTATTTAAAATGGGGCTTAGGGAAAAGGGGAAAAAAAAATCCCCTTTCCCCATATGAGATTCTTCCACGGTGTTGTCATGCAATCGTGAAAACCTCCATAGAACAGTAGATCACTCTTATTGGCTATATGCAAATTATCTGAGACCCAGTGGTTTCCGGCCAGGGAAAACTTATAATAACAGAGCAAGAGTGCAATCTGAGCCCTTGTTCGCTGAAATCCCTGAAAGAACAGAGTCGTTCTTGACAGGGCAATTTCAGCCCTTGACATTCCAGGAAATAGCTTAATAATATCGTTTAGGCTGAGGTTGTAACCAATTCTAAGACACAGACACACAAATGCAGTATGTAAGATGTAAGATATCAGTTTGGGACCACTCTTTATTTTTACAGAGAGTTTAACACCAAAAAACATCACCAAAACAAACCAAACAAGGCATCCTAATTAAACTGAACATTGTCCCTACTAATTAAACTCAATATAGGGAAAGGAAGGGTTTCTGCCAAGAAATTACAAATGCATCCTGAATACTATTTCCTTCCCCTTTGCTTTCCTAGGTACTGGGTCCATGCCATATCCAGGATGTGACACCCAAACAAAGCTGTATTTTAATCATTAATCCTTACGCAGACCTTAACCCCACCCTGGGGCCTCAAAGGCCTTTATGAGACACGCTGGCCTTTACATTTCAATGTGTTTCATTTTCTCTGGGAGCAGTACAGCTGAAAAAGGTTACAAGACTCAGGTTAAAAGTCAGGAAATGGATCAGGGCCCCACACTATGACATCATTTTCTTGCAATGCAATGAAGCAATGACATTTCCTGTAGGAAAAATCATTAGAACTGACAGGCAGCCTCAGTGAGTGCAGTCAGGCCTGCCTCCCTCCAGCCCCTTTCTTCCTCCCTCCTGGTCCTTGGCTGGGGTTTTCAGAGGTCAGAGGGAGAGAGACCCAGGCCACTTTATTTTATGATAGTCCTAAGAAATTTAAAATGAACGTATGCTAAGCTTAGTTACAAAAACTGTGGAATTTTGATAATTGTTAAAACAATGAACCCTTTAAGACAAAAAGTCTTAAATTTTATATAATTTAACTTTGCTGCTTACAAAATAATTTTCAGATTTATTTTTTAAAGTGGTGTATAGGTAGCGCCACCAGGAATGAATGTGCAAGTCGGCCAAGGGGAAGAGCAGGGATTTAAATCTGGCTCATTCTCGGTTGCCATCATGTTTGCTGGTACAGGACTGCTTTTCTCAGATTCACATAAAGGTCTCATGACCAAAGATAGGTGGTCTTGTTTTGGCACACGATCTAAGTTGAATGATGAATCAGTCTTCTGCCTTCAATCCGAGGTGCTGTGTCTATAGCTATAGGTATAACATCTTTTGGAGGTATCTCCAGAAATGTATATGTGAGGACCTGTCTGTGAGTTTTGGGCCAAAACAGCCTCCTGGCATGGTCATCCCAGCACTTAGACTTTTGGGGGAATTGACAAAGAGGTGGTGCCAAGGAGCCAAGGCTGTGTGAGATACATGGCTTGGAGAGCAGGGGCTCAAGGTTACGTTTCGGTCTGGTCATGTGATTCTGTGTGCAAATTGCATAACTGTAATTACAATACAATTATGGCACTCCTGGTCCCCCACACGGTAGACCCTGCTCTGGATTCCACATGCAGACAGGCCTGCTCCAGAGCAACATGGAGACCTGAATCAAGGCAAGAAGGATTTGCAGGGGTGGGCAAACTTTTTGACTCGAGGGCCACAATGGGTTCTTAAACTGGACCGGAGGGCCGGAACAAAAGCATGGATGGAGTGTTTGTGTGAACTAATATAAATTCAAAGTAAACATCATTACATAAAAGGGTACGGTCTTTTTTTTTTTTTTTAGTTTTATTCATTTCAAACGGGCCGGATCTGGCCCGCGGGCCGCAGTTTGCCCACGGCTGATTTAGGGGCTTGAGCCAATACAATGGGACTCGACATCAAACAGCCCTTGCTTCTTCATATGTGGCCTTGTGATCCGGTTTGGATAACTGGGTTTCTGCCCTGTACATGGGTTCCAGTGACTAGGTGGCAGGTGAGTGGATCTACTCGCTTGAGTTACCATTAGAGACAGTGGAATGAGGGGCCTAGTGTTAGAACCTTCTGTCATTTTGCTGCTTCTGGTCACCCTGCTTGGATTCTCCTGGGAGTTATCAGAATCTGCCAAGCAATGACTGTGACTGCAGATGTGACCGAAGAGAACAGCTTCCTGATGCTTCTTCTGTCCATTTCAAAACAAAATCAATACTAAGTCACTTTCCATCAGTGAAGGAGAGTGAGCAGGAGTGAGAAGTTTCTACTACAAAAACATTTTCAAAATCAAACCGGTAAGACTTCAGAAAGGTGAAATCCTAGTATCCATGATGAATTTATCCACTAAAAGCAATGTTTCAAAATATTGTGCTGTGTTTGCCAAACAGATTTAAGCTCTCTTTGGAAGTTGAGTGGGTGGGAGCCACAGATGTTCCCAGGCACTATCTACACAACACTCACATATCAGCAGTGTTTCCACAAATCATTGCACAGTAACTGGATGAACCTTGCAGAGACAAATATGCTATCTCCGGGAAAATTGGCAAATATCCGAAGGGCTCAACATTTCCCAGGAATGAGTCAAAACACAAGCAAAGCTGTCACACCTTTCCTTCAGTGCCCTGTGGTGACCTCTCAAATGTGGGGGCCTCCATAAATGAGTCACTGTTTCCCAGGTCTGTCAAAAGTATCAGTGGTTACAAGTCCAAGAAGCATAACAAGTCCAGAAAGAACCATTGAACTTTAAATTAAGAACAAGAACAGAAACTGTCCGAAATTACTGGGTTTTTATTACTCTGAATTCTCATAGTACCTAATCACTCCCTTTTAAGAACTCATTATTTCCAATTGTTAAACCTATTTTTTTAAAAAAATTATTTTACAATTGGTATTTGTATAGTCACAAGCTCTGCAGCCTATATTTTTTGCCATTTGAGTAACCCTACCATTTGTCCATACATGTTGAAACTGTCATTCACCTTAAATACACAGATCAGACTTCTTTATGCTCTACCCTTTCACCTTGCTCAA